AGAGAGAGAGAGAGAGAGAGAGAGAAACAGAGAGAGACAGAGAAGGAGGAGACAGAGATAGAGAGAGAGAGTTCTTGAGTTTGTAATGTATAGAGGAGAGGTATTGCTAACACCATCATTAGGCGAGTACATTTCTTATGGTTCCATACTCTTTAGATTCACTCTCATTTCTCCTATTTTGCTTTTTATCGTTTCTTATTTTTCGTCAAAGAAATTGAATAACCAAAAAAAACAAACAACAAAAACATTTAAAGAAACAAACAAACAAAATCAACAACAACAAAAAAACCACGAACGAGCGAACCAAAAAAGAACAAAACAAACAAAAAAGGGGGGTGGGGAAAGATTTTATGATAGAAATGATACGGTAAAGCAGCAACCAAGCAACAAGAACGACAAAAAACACATGTCTTGTAATCAAGACTCATTTTGTAATTGATTTAATTCTTCCCGTGATATTTGAGAACACCGTGATTGCACTGAGGCTGGAGGGCAGGATTCATTAGGCCTTCTTCAGATATCAGGGGAAATCGCAGGCCGATTAGATGTCATTAAGGTCTTGTATTTATTCCGGTATCACTTTTTAAATATCTATTTACCGTTTAAAGAAAACTAAAGATGGAGATATGAGGGCTGTCACAGAAGTAACAAGAAAATAACTTTAAAATGATAAGTTTTGTCTTGATTGAGATATAAATTATACGCTTAAATGATGGCTAAAATATTTCCCCAAAATGTCTTTACTTAGTCACTATGACAAGTTACACATTTTGCCCATCGCTGCATGAGTAAATGCATAATATCAACCCTGTGCAAATTTACGTCAAAATACCAAAGCCGATCTGACGTTCTCCCCGAGATTTGTGCCATCAGTGATTTTCATCCAGGCTAGATATCACTGCGTTGGTTCAAGCAGATAGAAATGTGAAGAAGCAAGATATCAAGACTGTGATCTAAATAGCTTTCATTTTCTTACTTACTTACATGTTCTTTAATTTCTCCTTTCTTTTTTTTTTATTTGTACCGTCTACGGCGTCGAAGGGAGAAAGAGCTTTCTGTCTCCAGCAAGCTGGATGGCCTGGCTTGGTGGG